ACTTGAATTCGTCGATGGTCTTGCTTTGCACTGTTTCCTGTGGCAGATTGTTCCAGTCGAGAGGTGCTCTAATCGTGAAGAAATTTTTTCGCATTTCTAGGTTTGCTTTACGTACTACTACTTTACATGCGTTACCTCTAGAATCCCTATCATTCCGCTCGAATAGTCCCGCAGTGGCATTCCTATCATACAAACCATAGCAGATTTTATACATTTCTATCATTGTCCCTCTTTTCCTTCTGTATTCCAGCGATGATAGATTCAGTTCTTTAAGGCGTTCGTAATAGGATAGATTTTTCATACCACTAACTAGACGCGTCGCTCTTCTTTGTACGTTTTCTAAGATCTTTTGTTGCTTGATCAGTCTTGGGTGCCAGATTAAGTTCGCAAATTCAAGGTGTGGCCGTATCAAGCATTTGTAGATGTTTAGAAATACTTGTTTCGTGACTTTAGTGAAGCTTTTCTTAATTACTGCTATCATGCCGTTTGCCTTATTGGCTTTTTTAGTGATGTGTGTTTCGATTGTCAGTTTGTTGTCAAGCCAGATACCCAGGTCTTTTTCGAGTTGCACTTCTTTAATGTTTTCGCCATTGATTTTATAAATCCTCTCCATTTCCAATTTCTTGTTTCCTATTGTCATGTGAACACATTTGTCGATATTAAAGGACAAAAGACTTTGGCCTGACAAAGTTTCTAGTGATTGTAAATCTTCATGTATGCGTGTTACATCCGATTTGTCTTCAATTTAACGGTATTTTCGCATCGTCAGCAAACAGATATATTTTTGACGCTATTTTGTCCGGCATTGTGTTGATGTATATCAAAAACAGTACTGGGCCGAGTACTAAACCCTGGGGTATCCCACTTTTTACTGGCTGCCATGAGGATCTTTAATCGTTGATTACCACTCTCTGTTGTCGTCCCGAAAGAAAGTCTGTTATCCAGTTCAAGGTTCTTCCAGTTACTCCATACTGTCTAAGAACTCCGATTAGTCTTTTGTGTGGTACCGAATCGAAGGCTTTTTTGAAGTCCAAGTATATCACGTCGACATTTTCATGTTTGTCCATTGCCCTGGTGAAGCCATCAATTACTTTTAGAAGTTGTAAGTTCAGTGAACGTCCAGATCGAAAACCGTATTGTGCATTTGTAATTAGCCCTTTTTCATTGAAATGATCCATTAATTGCTTTCGAACAAACTTTTCGAATAACTTGCAACATATTGATGTTAAACTGATTGGTCTGTAGTTATCTGCCATCGATTTTTTATCTTTTTTAAATATTGCAGAAATGTTAGCCAACTTCCAGTTTTCGGGAAATTTGTTTGTCTCCCAAGAGGTTTAAAAAATAATCAAAAGTGGTTTTAAGATGAATTCTCGTAATTCAAATAGTACCCTAGGATGAATTCCATCTGGTCCAGGCGACTTTGAAGTGTCTAACCGATTGAGTTCTTCTCGGATGTCATTCATTGTTAGCTTCAGGTTGTCATCAATGCTGGCGGTTGGTGGAGGGCTGATCTCCCAGTTACCCGGGGGTTCGTCAGTGAAAACCGATGCAAAGAAGTTTGAGAGCACTTCTGCCTTTTCGTCGTCTGTGTCAGTTAGCATACCATTTGGTTTTATTAAAGCGGGGATTGCTTCTCTGATGGTAGTTTTTTGGCGCACGTAACTCCAGAAATTTTTCGGATTAGTTTTAACTTCTGATGATATTTCTTTTTCACGTGTGAGTGCCTCCGATCGCGTGGCAGATCTAACTTCATTTCGTTTGGTTTGATAATTGGTTAAATTATCGGCTGTTTGATAATTTTTGAATGTTTTCCAGGCTTTCTTTTTTTTCTTTTATCTTCATGCGCACCGCCCTTGCTAGCGGCATTTGGTTGCCACTGCTGCGTATCTTAATTAAAGGCACGAATTTTTTGACTAACTTTTTCATGCAGTTTTTCAATTTTTCCCATGTATTTAACTGAACGTTTCGGTCAGCTAGATGGTTTCTCATCCCGTGGTAGTCTCCCTTTTCATAGTTTCTGCGGTTTTTACAATTCGATTTAATCCTGTTTACTGGCACATCTATCTTGACAAGGACGTGGTCACTTTTTCCGATTGGCGCCTCTAACGTGATGTCTAGATCTTTTAAGACTATATCTGACATCACAACATCAAGCAGTGATGCCTTGTCTCTGCCAGTTAGCCGTGTAGGCTCTTTGATATGTTGTGTTAGTAGTGCGTCTTTTATTGCCTCTATAAAGGTGAACTCAGTGCTATTTTCATCTTTTAATGTACTCATGGCCTCCCAATCTATCTGTGGTAGATTTGTGTCTCCCACTATTAGTGTTGAGTCATTTGACTGTGTTTCGTTCAAATTGGCGATCAAATTTTTTAGTTGGTGGTAATTTTCTTTAGTTGAGTTTGGACTTCTATACAATACACCAAAGTTGATGATGTTCCTGCCAATTTTGATTTTTAAAAACAAGTTTTCACAGAAAGAAGAATTATTTGTGCTCAAGGAGTAGTCAAGGTTTTCATTCATATAAACTAAAATTCCGCGTCCTTGATCAGATGGGTTCATATTTTTTGCTTCTATGTTATAGTATTGGATTTTATGCCATGCTGGCTTCCATTCTGCGCGAGAATTTTTCGGTTTGCCTTTCACTAGAGCAATGACATCAGGCTTGCATTTTTCTTGATTCGTTCTCCACGTGATTTCGTGCAGTTTGTCTTGAGTTAATGTGTCTATGTTTGTGTACCAGATTAATAAAGACCGGTTTGAGGTTTTTTCTTCATTCTCATTATTTGCAACCCCCTCACAAGGTGCACGTAGTCTTCTTGTTCCTTTTCATTGAAGTTTTTTGCCTTTGCTATCAATCTTCTGACTTCTTCTCGTTCCTTGAGACTCCTGTTTGGGCCAATCCGCAGGTTTTTGATTTTATATTCGGCATCTTTTAATTTATTCAAGTTTTTCATTATCTCGTTTACATCTTTTTCGTTATCAAAGGATACTAGCAGTGGTCTGTTTGTCGTGGCTTCATCGTTCTTCTTCCCAAGTCGGACAAAACTTGTGGCTGTTTTGTTTCCCATTTCGACCGATGCTAGAAATGTTTCTATCAGTTGTTTGTCTTCTACCTTTCTGTTATGTCCATCTTGGTGGGTACTCTCAGGTGCTTTGTAAATTATCAAGTCTTTTTTCCTCTTTTGTCGTCTTCTTCTTCTCTTTTTTGCTCCTCAGATGCTTCCATTATAATTTTTTTAATGGCTTGACTTTCGGTTGTTGGGCCACGTCCCATGGTTTCTGTTCAGTTTGATTCACGACTCTTGGTCCTGCTACAAACTTGTAGAAGTCGTTCATCATGTGGTCTAGGTTCGCCATTGTTTTGTTCAGATCGCTCCGTAGTGTATCCGGTTCTAGATTCTTGTCAGCTTCAATTAAAAGTTTCACCTTCGGTGTGCAGGAACTGCAACACCAGATGACTTCAGGTTGACACATGTAATCGTAGACTTGGTCAGGCATATTTATGCATGTTGTACAAAATTGTTCATGACATTTATCACTCTCCATTACTTTATCATCGATGTTACCATAGGTCTTATTGCACGTTTTACATTGCCAAGCGTCCATTTCACTCCCAGATTCAGTACCTTCACGTCTAGTTTTTAGTTTTGGAGGCATATTAAGGTTGATTTTATCAGGCCGCTCTAAAACACTCAAGTCTCAAGAAGCTACCTAATGAAATCAACTTCACGAAAACTACTGGGCCGCACTGAGACACTGAAGTCTCAAGAAGCTACCCCGTAATTTCCCCTTCAAAAACACTAAGCCCTAATCTGATTATTACTGGGCCGCTCTAAGACAATTAAGTCCCAAGAAGCTACCCTTGTAATTTCAGAAAAAGCTTTATTTTTTGCTGTTCTTTTTCTGCCTTCGCTTCGACGTTGACTGTTTCTTTGACTTCTTCGTAGCAGACTTTGATCGTTTCTTCAGGACTAACTTTTTCAAGTTATTTCTACTTCTGTAGACGGTTCTGATTAGTCTCTCTTCAAGGATCAAAGACGGGTGAATTTGCCTCGAATCTCGCAAGATTCTGTTGTTCTTTCTCTTTCTTGTGGTTAATAACTTTTTTACTGGAATAATGAGGATACCCAATGTTCTCAATCTTTTGAGTATGTCTGTGGTGTTGGTTCGTTTTGTGTATACTATTGCTGCGATCCGGTGACGCAGTCCGTGGAGAATCGAAAGCAGTAGTTCTACTGAACAAGGTTTCCAACTGTTGCTGTGGTGGGGGGCCACAGTATTGTTTATCAAGTCGTGTCACAGAATAAGTTTGTCTTCGTTCTTCTGGATCGACTGGTAGTTCTTTTTAGTGGCAGGGTTGATGCTCAATCCTTCTACTGATGTCTGGATGGGGAATATTTTTCGTTGGAAATTTCTAGGGGATGCGTCGATGGCCGCACAAAAAGAGCTTGCGCCAACAAAGTGCACCATAAATCTTCACCTGCAACACCTAGAGCAGCAGGACTTTGCTATTTTTTCCGTTCAATGAAGCGATTTTAGATTTAGCTCTAGGGCATATATCTATTTAATAAGTTTATCTATGATGTAAGTTTATCTATGATTTTGTTGTTTTTTTTTGTTTCAGGATTAATTGGCGCCTAACCACGTGTTGTTGATATAATGGACGCTTGGAAAATGCTGAAAGCTTGCTTAATGTTAGTGGTTGTATTTTTCGTCAGTTTTTTCTGAGATTGAATTTTTCGTACTTCCAAAGATTTTGGCAATTTTGTGTTCTGATAGGTTGGCGTCCAACCACGTATTTTTGGCATAATGGATGCTTGGAAAATGCTGAAAGTTGTATTGTGTTTTCGGAGGGGAGCGTAAAATTAAGAATTTCAGAGTTTAAAGCAGTTGGTGACAACAGTTTTGTTTTCGGATCAACTGGAGTTTACCCAATTTTGTCGGTTTTGTTGTCACTTGATAAAAATTTATTTAACGACCTAGATTGTGTTTCTCAGCGTAATTTTTGTCAAATTGAACATCATTACAGGGAAAATTTGGAAATTTTTGTAGATGTGTTTTTTTTTACCAAGTGGCTTCCCTTTCATTTTCTGTCTGCTCGCTTGCAATGCTATCAATGTGTGGTGTCATAAATGGTGCTAAGAACCGCTTCACCTATGCATAAACTCAATTTTGTTTCACCAGCGTCTTAATTGGTTCCGCAAAAAGTGATGGAGATTCTGGATGAAATTTTTGTGTTGAAGTGCATTATGGCGAAACTTCTGTGTAAAGGAGCTTTCGGAGGAGCTTCCTCCCTTCAGTCGTTTATGTTGAAGAAACTGTTGCTACCACTTGCTAATATACCATTTACCAAACGCTGCTCTTCCAATTGTATTCGTAGCGAAGTTTCAAATGGCGTTTTTCGAATTGAAATTAACAATGATAAGCGGAAAAACGCCCTGACCTGGAAGATGTTTGAAGAGATTGGGAACGCGTTCAAAGAGGCGAATCAAAATCCCAATGTGAAGATAACTACCTTCACAGGTAAAATAAATACTGCACATTTAAATTTGTTTCCTTTATGAAAGTTTCAATGTTTCTCATTGGCTGATATAAATATTTGTACTTGACTGCACAGCATTGGCACTTTACCATCTGAATGTGAAACTCAAATCGCCAGGTCGGGGGCTAGAATCCTGCACAAAGGAATGTTTTTGTTTTTCAGGGCTTATTTTTACCTTTTCTTGTTTATATTTTTAGAGCTAACCCATGTCGTTTTCTTGCTTTTGCTTGCAAAGTGCAGCTGCGCCTATGTTTGGTATGTGATGTAACTGTATTGTAAACAAGTGAAGTAGTTGAAATTAAACAAAAGTCCTGAAGTTTGTGTTTTACTAATAAGAGTCAATGAACGCAGTGAAGACTTATATTGGTATTGAAATTTTTGTTCGTTTTTTGAGGAAAGTCTTAAAATTTGTCTACGCTCAAATTTGATTATTCGCAGTTTGGCTTTTGGTTTCTTCAACCTTGTGATCAGCAAAGATATTGCAATCGCATTTTTACCTTTAATAACTTTGTTCACAGGGCTCATCTCCATGGAATCCCTCATCTACTGATCCTCTCTGTTGGAAATACTGTAACAGACATGAGTATGTTCGCATTTTTAATATCTGTCCTTTTGGAGTTGTAATTTTACCAACTCGATTCGTGATTATTAAGATTATTATTATAATTGTTTTGTCCTTTTTTTGGCTTGGTAGGTTTCGGCCTAATTACATCGGCTTAGTGTTCTCATATTGCGCTGCTTAATGAGTGGAAAATGTTAATTTTTTGTTTGTTAGGGTAACTTTAATTTTTTAATTTAGTTTCAAATCTTTTCGAATTTTTTTGCCGTGAAAGTTTCTGCTCAGATCGTTTTGGCTTTGCTACCGCTTAGTAAATTTTTCTTCAGATGCTATTTTGGATTCTTTTATTTGACCCTATTTTTGTTCGAAACTATCTTCATTCATTTTGATCGATTTAGTTGTATGGATGATTATAGCTTCGATATTATTATGTTTGCTGGTTTTTTGGCTTAATGCTTATCGATTAAGCTGTCGGTTTAGTTTCCGAATATGTATACCACCATGTATTCAGTACAGTCTAAAGGCCTTTTAGATAATATGTGGGCAGTAGATTTATTTTTTCCTTTAAGAAGATATTGGCGAAAAATTTTTGTTGATTTTCAGCCGATTGGCTGTCGGCTTTAATTTTGTCTGCTTATTTACCTATTATTGTGTTTCTTACAAACTTCCGATTTTATTTATGCGGTCGATAAGATTTTGGCTTCAATTGTTCGAATGCTCAAAGTCAACCCTATTTCGCCTCAGAAATGAAGTTCATATATATAGATTTTTCCGTTTTTCCAGTTCCTTCTTCAACGTCAACATAATCCGAAGTTCTCTTTGCTAGTTGACCCTCATGTTTATGCAATTTTATGCAATTTTATTTTTGTATTGCAAGTGGTGGGAAGCTTAGCTCCACCTCTGTGTTTTTTTAGTTCAACTCATTTCCTTTGTTAAAAGGACAAATTCCACTACCGGACAAATTCCACTATCGAACAGCAAAAGTGTAAAGGTCACGAAAAGATCTTCTATAATTTTATTATATTTTTTTCAATTGATGTCGTTTTTTTTGTGTGCGTGGTTTGATTAAAAAAGCCCAAAATATAGCATATTTGCACTCTTAGTTAAATTGCCTAGATGGACAAAAGTTTTAGTCAAAATATGAGTGGAAAAAAAACGTTTAAAAATTTTTTTTTGCAGATTTTTGAATCTTCAAATGGCTCTAAAAACTTCAAAAATTAATTTAGCTAAAGCAAATTTAAATTTTCTGGTCGTGAGTTGTTTTATCTTTCTTCTCTAAAAAAATTAATTCTACGCCTGCTCGCTCGCTTTATTCGCTCGAAATTAGACTAAAAAAAAAACAAATTTCTGATCGATTTTTCTTGACATTGAGAGAAATGTTTATAAATTTTTAATGTCGTTCGAATCAGGACTAAAAAGGCTTTAGTGCGATATATCACTCGACCCTGTCAGTTGATTGTTTTTGGTGCCTGATTTTGCGTGCAATAAAATGAAAAAAAAAGAGAAAAATATAGTTTTTTCTGCTTGGTTTGATAAAAGGATCTGACGTAAAAATGTAATTTAGGCATATTACACAGTCATAGTAATATAGGCAAATTGGACAAAAAATTTTGTAGAAAAATGACAAGAAAAACTAAAAACAAAATTAAAAGAAAAAATGTTTTTGTTTCCCGAAATGAAGCTAAAAAAACTCCAAAAACTAGTTTTATTTGCTGAAAGTTTTAAGGTCTTAAATTAGGCATAATTCAGCTGTTGTAAGCCTGCTCGCTTGCTTTATTCGCTCGAGTTAAGACGAAAAATCAAAAATTTCGACCGGTTTTTCTCGAGACTGGGACAATTTTTTATGTGGTCCGAATCACGACTGAAAGGGCTTCAATATGATATATTTTGCAACCCAGTTCGATGATTATTTGTGGTACCTGATTTTGCGTGGAAAAAAAACTAAAACACACCCGAATACAAAGTTCCTCCCTAGTTTTTCGATGATCGGGAACAAAAACTAAAGCACGCCCGAATACAAAGTTCGTCCCCATTTTCAATGGTCGGAACAATGATTCAGTGCCAATTATAATTGTCGGCCTCGACATCAAAAAGCCTTTGGTAATTATCATGATCGAGAAAAAGATCGATATTTCTTGATGTCAGTTGTCTAAAGCAGCTTTTCAACACTAAGAAAACATTCTTAAATGATCACTCAGAAAACCAAAACAAAACTTAAATAAGAGGTAATATATCAGGAAAAGCCGAAGCGAAGATAGTGATGTTAAAAGAAAAAGCATCGCTTTGTTATCTTAAAACTCATTGATGAGACGTACCTGCTTTACAGATAGTTAACAGTCATCGCTGCTAATACCTGTGCAGGCAGAAACTAATTCAAAACGGAGCATTGCTCTCACTGCGCGAAAGTTGGGAATACTCATTTAAGACAACAAAATTAGAGAAACCGAGGCAAAACTGATGGAAGGTGTCTAGTTTAAATTGAAGATGAGTTTGAATTCCAGCCGTTTCGAGGAAATTTTGATCAATTTATCAACTACTGATGATGAGGCTAGATTAGGTATCAACATCAATGGATTTTAGGGCTCGAGATTTATTCGCTGCATGTCGATGAACATTTTCAACCCTCACGCCAAGACTGCTCCGAATAGTCGATAACTGGTATGAAGCCATTAAAAACTAGCTGGATGCAATACTTTTCCTAGTCACAAAAAAAGTTGTATGTTGAATACTAATATATACAAAAATTGAAATCGAACTACACTGAAAAATTTAGCAAGTTTTTTCATAAATTAGTTGCTGTTAGGACGAAAAGTGAATCAACTTTTATAGTAAGAGAGCTATCAACTTGAGAGTAAATAAACCAACCGAAGTATAAACCAAACGGAAATGAGCTGAGTATAAATTGCTGATTTAAATTAACTGGACTAAATGAACAAATTTAGAAATTTCAAACGCGTTTTTCTCAAATTGGGTCAAGATAAGACAAAAAATGAAGAGAACAAAAGTTGCTTAGAATATTGCCAGAATTAATATGTTTCACAAGAGAAATATATATCACAAGAAGCCTCATACACAGCTCAACAAAGTTCTAGAAGGCTTAAATCTCCAAAAACCTGTATAAGAGAAAATATTTCTGCTTGATAGTCAAGAAATGTGATTTTTTTCTATATAAAACCCAGAATCTTTGCTTAAAAACAAATTTGAAAAAATTTACTCAAGTTTTTGGAGATTTAATCATTATGGAAATTCGTTGGGCTTTATAAGTTTTCGGAGATTTAATCTTTATGGAACTTAGTTGGGCTGTGTATGAGGCTTCTTGTGATATATATTTCTCATCAATTAACAAAATAGCTTCAGTGTAATTTTCGATTAATTGAAAAAAGACAAAATGACCCATTTTTGGGGTAAAAATTTGGTTGAGAATTTAGGAGAAAAAATTGTACCATAGTATTTCTGATGAATTTCTAAGCAACTTTTGTTCTCTTTACTCTTTGTCTAGTCGTCACTTTTTGTCTAATCGTTTAAACTTTAAATCGGCACTCTATAAGCCGGACGAAAAGTGACATCATATGACATCTATACCCCCTCTTTTGGTGAGTTGATCGACGTTCTTCTAAACAACTTTTCTATTTTGTCATTCGAAGAAGATCAAGCTCAAATTAAAGAATTGGGTAAAATCCAAAGGTTGCAAAAGAAACAAAAGATTTTGATCGAAGTGTTCAGAATTATAGTTCTGAAACTGATTTTACTTCTAAATTTTTTTGAAGTTTTTTTTATCGATAGAGTGATTTTCATGCCAACCTACCGAAACGCTAAGCAACCCTATTTTCAAAGATGTTAAAGTATATGACATGTTGTTTTGAAGGCGTTGCGCTACTGTTTTGCAAGCTAATTTTTCGCCGAAATGGAATATCAGTTAGATTGATGCTTACGGTAGCTCTTTCAATGGTGTAGAATGATATAGGATGCCCTGAAATTACCCGTTTTTTTGTCTACTTCTCCAAAGTTTCGACATGAAAGTCATCTTTGGATAACTGCAATGAAAAGGTTTTTGTCCATTCTCTGGGATAAGGAAATAAATGGAAGCAAAACCGTTATACTACTTGAATTCCAATGCGAAATAAAAAAGAACGGTTTCTGCTATTGTATGGACCCAAAAAAAATTTCGACCACGAAAAATTTCTCTCAGGAAAATCTGAAATCATTTTTCGGACATAACTGGGCCAAATGATGGTTTCGTAGATGGGCCAGTGGGACTGTACAACAAAGCGAAACATGTCCTTGTGCAACAGGGAAACAATGCGTGTGCAAAAAGTAGCAGTATCATTTTCTGTTGTGCGACACTTTTGTGCTGAACCGATTTTGTATAATAGTAGTAGTGTATGTTATCCCCCACAAAACATGATTACATAGTGTTCTCCGATTCTTATTTTCATGAAAGCTCTAGCTAAACATACTTGGATTAAAGTTCTTTCGTTGGCTAGGTGCCGGAGACTATTTCACAAGTGGGCTTGACTTGGCAAATTTTGCTGGCGTCCCGTCAATGAGCGAAGAAGAGAGGGTAGCATTTGCAGATGAAAACCACCTTCTTATTCGTTACTTGTTTGATGCTGCTATAGACCATGAAAAGCCTCTGTTTGTTCTGGCCAATGGTCCTGGAATTGGTCTGGGAACAGTTATTTTAGGTGAGTTAAAATTTAGTATCGATCACACAACGCAGTTAAGGGTGATGATTAGCTTGAGTAATTGTTTACTTATCGCTCAAAAAATTCTTGGTGATGAATGAAGCAATGGCCACCTATAAAAAATGTTTCTAGCTGGAATTGAACATGCTATCTAGTGCTCCCAAAGCTTGCGTGATATCAGCTGAGTTTGCTGTGAGTTGCTTTTGACCAATCAGGAGTTGCTGCTGAACCTTTCACTCATCGGCGCAGACATTGTTATATTTTGCCTAATTGTTTTTATACTGGAGCTGAAACTTGTTTTAGATTAGTAAGCTATTTGTCAAAAGGTTTTGTTCAAACTGACATATTTTTTACGTGTAGGTCTGTGTGACGTAGCTTATGCAACACAAAGAGCTTTCTTCCTCACTCCTTTTGTTACAATTGGCCTTAACCCAGCAGGATGCTCCTCTCTAGTTTTTCCCCAATTGCTAGGCAACTCAAGGGCAAATCGATTAATGATGTTGGGAGAGCGAATTTCTGCACACGAAGCGAAAGAGTTTGGACTCCTAACTGATGTATTTGAAGACGAAATGTTTGAAAAGAAATGCGAAGAAAAGATTGATCACGTTTTAACGAAATTGAACATCGAAGGAATGATGAAAGTGAAGGCACTCAGTTTTGACGAAAAGAGGAAATTACTGAAGGAAAGAAACAGAATTGAATGTGAAATGTTCAGAGATTCGTTTTTGTCTGAACAGTTTAAACATAAAATTGCAAAAATGTTTAAAAAATAGATATTATTATTCCTTAAAATTTATTAAGCTTGCAATTAGCAACGTTATTAAATCAGAATACGGACTTTTTTCAGCTTGACTTGTTTAACAAAATCAATTGAATCACTTTGTTCCTTGGTTTATACAAAGTTTTTTAGCATCTCGGGAACACGTGGTCTAGAGTTAAAGTCTACGCCTGGAATGGAAAATTTCCTGTTGAATCCTGTTTTTTTTTCAAGCTGGAAATTTTCCGTTTGAGTTGATGAACGTAGTTTGATTTTTTGTTTTTTGAAAAGTCTAAATTTCGGTTTCTTTTTAAGTTCAGTCCATTTTTAGCGAAAATTTAAAGGCCATGAAAAACTTACTCGCCTTCTAATTTCGAACATGAATTTTAATTATCAGATTTCCCAGCCAAATAAAAAAATTTACGTTTGATCCAGTTTTCTCAAATAGGGTTAATTTTGTCTTAACATGTCAATCATAAAATGCTCTAGATGCTCAAAGAGCTTTAAGAACATCTATTTTTTTATCGAGCTTCGAAAGTTGATTTTTTTTCAAAAAACAAGTCAGTCGTCTTTTATGTTTACTTGCGTTGATTGACTTTTTCCAAGTATCTTGGCTATGTTTTTTTGTAATTTATTTTCTATTTCGGTTAAAAATTTAATGAGGCGTATGTTGTGTCGTTTAAAGCTAATTTTAAGTCGTGTGGATGGAAAAGTAGACTTTGATAATTTTGAGTGTTTCCGGTGGGGGGCTAAAATATTAGAATTCCATAATTTTCAAGTTTTTTATGACAAAAATTTTGTTTTCGCCTCATCGTCAGTTTACTCAACGCTTTAGTTGCCGCTCGATAAATGTTTCGGATTACTTATTTGACGCCTGTGATTGTGTTCTGCACAGTGAGTTCTGGAGAGGTCGTTTTGCAGATTTCTTATAGCTTCAAAAACTTATGGGTTTTCGTGTGATCATTTTTTCCTCTTCTGTATCGCATGTGATGCGAAGCGAAGCTTGTCGTCAGTAAAATTTTTCCAATAACAAATGTTGCGTAAGTCGGTTTTGCTTCAATTATAGATAATTGTTTTAACAATTTATTTCAGGTGAAGATGGCTTACAGGCCAACTTGTCTTCTCGGATTCTGTAGATTATCCTGCGTTCGGTCATTTTTTTCGGAATCTGTTCTTCAGATTGTGCCACGGAAATATAAGCCACGTTCTCTGCCTCTATCACCTAATTATTATCAGAAATTAAATCAAAGCAACTTTTGGCGAAATTTTTCGTCTGGTAATGAGGCCGGGGAAATTTTGGAACCCGATGAGCTATACTCTCAAGTGCAACTGATGATCAAAGGTCAAGACAAAGAAGTCATCAACAGCTACGTGACCTTTCTCAAAATGACCTGTCATCATTTAGGTTAGTGCTCTATTATATAGCCAGAATAGTCTCAGAACTGATTTTCTCTCTTAGTCATACAGTTTTGGTAAGATCTCTTTATTTCCAGTGGTTTTTATGAATAATTTTTTGTTATTATTCATTAGTTAAACTAATAAGAAATCGAGATATATATATTTCAAAAAATACTTTTGGAAGTTTTGGTAGTTTGAACTATCATACTTGATCAATGGGTTAACCTAAATGATATTGCTAAAAATAGGATTAAACGGTGAATTTTTCCAGCAATTTTTTTGAAATGTAAAAAATACCGACTAAATGTTTCAAAGGCTGATTATCGATAGCCGCAAGGCCTTTGTAGCAAGGCCCAAAATTTTGTAAATGTACTTGAATGCTAGCGGGAATGTAGTTTAGTGTTGCAGTTCTCACGCCAAAACGTTGGCTTCCAGATGCTCTTAGTGTAGGATATACGGAAAATTGTACGAATCTTTCATGAAGTTCTAGAAACTTAAAATTTTTATTTTAAATTCTTAATTTTGTACCTGTACTTGCATTTTATCGGGGGAGGGAGGGCATGGTTTAGTTTTTTTCACTGAAGCTCGCAGCTTAGGAGAAACTGAAGATATTCTGAATGTTTTTAAAAGGTTTTGAAAAATTTATACCCGTGATTTTATGCTAACGGGATTGCAGTCTAGCGTTGAGATTCCAATGCCAAAATTTAACCTTTCATAAGCTGGTAACCTAGAATATATGGACGATTTTATGAAACTAAAAAAATCGAAAAATTTTAAACAGCCTGAAATCTGGAAAAATTTGAGCTTAAGTTTTTGAAACTTCGATAGAATTTTCAATTTCAAGATTTGAATGGCTAATGCAAAATTTGAAAATTTTAACCCTGCAGTGAGGAGCTGTCAGGGTTATTTTAAGAATTTCAATTGTTGTCTCTTATAAAAATTGACTGCTCAAATACTATTAGCTTCCAAGACTTGACGTTTTTTTAATGATTTTAAGAAACTTCAAACTTACAAATTTTGAAAATCTCAGCCTTATGAGTGATGCCAAAGTAGCCTCAGGTCTTGCTAATTTGGCCTCCAAAATTTTTTTGAAGTTTTATGTCCTGAATGGCGTGCTTCAGAAAAGTTCGATTTTTTGTGGTCTGATTCGCTCTATGAACTACGTTGAAATATTTTCAAGTTGCTTAATAGCTTGCAAGGAAACGCTTGTGTTTGCGCGAACCAGTTAGCTCTAGGAAATAGCTTGAACAACTTCAGTATTTCATCGCGTGAGTGGCTCCATTACAGAAATAAGCTTGTTACTATCTGATTCAGTTCATGAAATACTTTGAAATGTATTCAAGTTTTATAGCTTGAATTGCTTACTAAAAAGTTAACTTCTTGCCATTTTATTTGCTCTACGAATTAACTTGAAATTTTTTAAAGTTTCCTCACTTGAATAGCTTTGTTAGAAAAACTTAATTTTTGCGAACTGATTCGCACTATGAAACAATTTGAATTTTTGAAACAATTTAAAATTTTTGCTTGAATAGTTTCTATAAGAAAACTTTCAGTTTTCGCAAAACGATTAGTTCTACAAACCATCTTGAAGTTTTTCGAAGTTCCTTGAATAGCTTGCTTAGAAGAACTTAACGTTTTTCGCAATCTGATTCGGTTTATGGAAACATTTAAACTAATTCAAATTTCATAGCTTGAATACCTTGCTCAGAAAAGTTTCGAATTTTTACGGTTTGTACCTGTACTTGCATTTTATCGGGGGAGGGAGGGCATGGTTTAGTTTTTTTCACTGAAGCTCGCAGCTTAGGAGAAATTGAAGATATTCTGAATGTTTTTAAAAGGTTTTGAAAAATTTGTACCCGTGATTTTATGCTAACGGGATTGCAGTCTAGCGTTGAGATTCCAATGCCAAAATTTAACCTTTCATAAGCTGGTAACCTAGAATATATGGACGATTTTATGAAACTAAAAAAAATCGAAAAATTTTAAACAGCCTGAAATCTGGAAAAATTTGAGCTTAAGTTTTTGAAACTTCGATAGAATTTTCAATTTCAAGATTTGAATGGCTAATGCAAAATTTGAAAATTTTAACCCTGCAGTGAGGAGCTGTCAGGGTTATTTTAAGAATTTCAATTGTTGTCTCTTATAAAAATTGACTGCTCAAATACTATTAGCTTCCAAGACTTGATGTTTTTTTAATGATTTTAAGAAACTTCAAACTTACAAATTTTGAAAATCTCAGCCTTATGAGTGATGCCAAAGTAGCCTCAGGTCTTGCTAATTTGGCCTCCAAATTTTTTTTGAAGTTTTATGTCCTGAATGGCGTGCTTCAGAAAAGTTCGATTTTTTGTGGTCTGATTCGCTCTATGAACTACGTTGAAATATTTTCAAGTTGCTTAATAGCTTGCAAGGAAACGCTTGTGTTTGCGCGAACCAGTTAGCTCTAGGAAATAGCTTGAACAACTTCAGTATTTCATCGCGTGAGTGGCTCCATTACAGAAATAAGCTTGTTACTATCTGATTCAGTTCATGAAATACTTTGAAATGTATTCAAGTTTTGTAGCTTGAATTGCTTACTAAAAAGTTAACTTCTTGCCATTTTATTTGCTCTACGAATTAACTTGAAATTTTTTAAAGTTTCCTCACTTGAATAGCTTTGTTAGAAAAACTTAATTTTTGCGAACTGATTCGCACTATGAAACGATTTGAATTTTTGAAACAATTTAAAATTTTTGCTTGAATAGTTTCTATAAGAAAACTTTCAGTTTTCGCAAAACGATTAGTTCTACAAACCATCTTGAAGTTTTTCGAAGTTCCTTGAATAGCTTGCTTAGAAGAACTTAACGTTTTTCGCAATCTGATTCGGTTTATGGAAACATTTAAACTAATTCAAATTTCATGGCTTGAATACCTTGCTCAGAAAAGTTTCGAATTTTTACTAACTGGTTCGGTGTTTTGAAAAAATTGAAAGTTTCATAAATGGAATAGCTTGGTTATAATATTTTAAGTTTTTCGCGAACTGATTCAGCCTGTGAAAGAACTTTAAATGTTTCAACGTTTCTTAGTTTGAATAGCTTGCTTGGAAACAACCTAAACTTATCACAAACCGATGCAGTCTAAGAAATGGCTTGAAATAATAAACTTCTTCTGTGAAATTTAAAATTTTTCAAACCGATTTAAAATATGTTTGAATTTTTTGATGCTTCCTTGCTTGAATAGCTTGATCAGAGCATTAACTATTTTTTTGCGAGCCGATTGATTAATGGAGACGTGCTTGTTAGAAGCATTTTAATAGGAAATGTTATCATTCCAGGAAAACTATGCGGAATACTAATTTGATTTAACTGTCTCGCACGGAACGTACATAAAAACAGTAAAACTTTCTAGATTTGGACTTTGAGGAGCCAGTGACGCTTCCGAGGAGTAGACGCATGATCACTCTTCTGAAGAGCAGACACGTGCACAAGAGGGCCAAAGTGCAATATGAAGTGAGGACACACACAGTACAGATGAATGTCCGACACATTACAGGCAGCTCAGCATCCACGTTTTTGGAATACATACAGGTTGGGTTCGACTTCTTGTGTTAACGCTATAAAATAATAAGCACAACAAAGGGAAATGAAAGTCTTCGGAAAAAGCATATTGTTAGACTTGATAATAACGCAATTGCTCGTATCTGGTCCAAAGCGCAGAACTATCCAACTGGTTTTTTTAATGTGTTGCTCCGAGTTTCGACCACGAAAAAGGAAGGCATCGTGTACTGGTGTGTGTTTCTTAAAGAAAAAGATCGAGATTTGAAGGAACAGCTAAAAACATTTTGAAAATTTACGAAAAAACTAATTAACGTGGTCTTCCGCGCTCTAGCTAATTAATTTATTTTAGTGTTACTGAGTTTATATTAGCTTGTCTCCGAGGCAAAATCAAGTGCCACGCTTGAGCGTCAGACAGGGTCGAAGGACAAGAAAAAACAGCTTTTAATTACAAATGGCCGCAAATTTAACAGCTTAAAGGATAACTACCCCATAGTCTCATTGCAGGCTCTATTTTTGGTAGTTTTCCCGTGATATGATCCTGTTTATTCCCGGAATAAACTATAATCAGCTTCAACACCCCAGAGAGCTAACAGTGACGTCAGAGATCCTCACTACTTACATTTACTGCAACCTACGGGATGCTGCAAGAAAGCTTTATTCTTTTAAATAATTAAATTTACAGTTCAAATTATGATGAAATAGCGCGAGCGCAGAAAACGGTTATCAGTTTTTTTCCTCGTATAATAACAAAATGTTTTAAGCTTTTTCTTCAAATCACGATATTTGTCTTTCTTTGAGAAAGTAGTTCTGACTGACGATGCCTTCAGGTAATTAATCGTTCGTACGGAAACATCTTTCTGCAATTTTTTGATTAAGAGTAATGAACGTAGTTCAGACTCTTATATAGGTCTTGCTGATTTTTCTTTTTTGTTTTTTTTTTTCAGGAAAAGTCTCTAATAACTACAGGTGTGCATTCACACATATTGATACATTTATCAATGCACTTAGGTATATATGCTTTTTGAGTTCAACTGAAATTCATCTGCTGAAAGTTGCGTCAATAGCAATCTCCAAATACTAACGTAGATAGAAATGGCGCGAAAAAACGAACAATTTCTAGTTTCGAAAGTGCAATTTAATTTTAAGATTTCCAGCGGAATAAAAACTTTACCTATTGATCCAGTTATCTTAAGTTGGACTAATGTTATCAGAAAAGTGCCAATCATGAATTGTTATAGAAACTCAAAAAGCTTAAAGGACATCTGTTTTTTTCTTTAAAATTCGAAACTTTCTTTCAACAACAGATTTTTTCAAGTATGTCAGTGTTTTTTATGTTTGCTTGCATTCATTACTCTTTTCCAATCTTCGATTGGCTATGTTTTTTTTAATTACTTGAATGCGAACTTTTTTGAAAAAGGGATCTTTTTCATAAAAATATAAATCATTAAACGCTACTCTGCAGTAGGTAATTCGCAGGGGTCGGACATTTTTTGAACAAAAAAGATGTTTTTCAGGGGGGTCCGGCAAATTTGGATCAATTCTGATAAATATTATGACAAAATCGAGCCAAAAGTTTTCTTGAACATTGAACTTGGCATAGAGTTTTAGTAATTTAATCCAGACGACCTTTTTTTGCGGTGAAAAGGCAGTTTTGTCAATTTGGTCCTCTCGAAATTGATATTTTTTTCAAAAATTTTGGGTAATTATTTTATGGTTCAAAAATTCAGGTGGGAACCATGCAGACACTCCCTTCACAAATTTGGAGGGGTCATTATTCTAGGAGGGGTTCTCTATGAAGAAAACGATTTGTGTTGCGGGGGGTTCTCCTCTGTTTTGCGGGGGCTCTTCCTTGAGCAAATTCGATATAACTGCGATTTGAGATTCAAAATATGATAATTGAGTGCAGTCTAGTACAGAAAAACGGGATCAAGTCAGTTCTTTTGATCTTTATACGAGTAGTTTGACAATTGATAAAAACATTAATTAATTGCAAACTTTTTAAATTTATTCCTGCATATAAATTGAACGGTTTCAATATTTCAGCGCAACATCCCTGAAGCAGTTGCCCTTCAAGTGAACAAGACTGAAATGTTACCTCTGCCTGAACCGATAATAAAGGCAGCCATCGAACCAAAAATTCAATAAACTTCTCTCCTTTTGAATCCGAAAAGTAAAATAAAAGTTCTCCTTTTGAATTTTTTGTATTGAGTTGAAAGAGCAACTGGAGGGAAAAAAGATAAATACCATGTAAATATCATGCTACTTTTATTTATTAGATAAACATTAATTGTAGTAGTGATGTAAAAAAGCTGCCATAAAACATATAAACATATTGATAACCACATATCAAGCGTGATCAAAGTTATAATCAGGATCTCAAAGCTGATGAACTTGAGCAATTAGCAAACGCTTTCAGATGGGTTGAATGAGTTGGTGGTAATGGTGTCCAAATCGGGAACCCTCCAGTCAGCCTGTTCCACTCCTGCCCTGCCCACCAGCAGTCGGGAGGCAGAGACGGTGACGGCAGAGCTCCTCACTTATCGCAACCCCATTCGCAGCTCAAATGCCGGACGGGTGGCAACTTTAAGCAAAAGCTACTCTCGAGGCGACCTGCGGGACGATGAGGATGATGACAATGACGACGCAGAAGAAGGTAAGAAATGTGAATGAAATATTTTGAAAAGTGAATAAAATATATATTGCTCTTAGTTTTGTAATAGCTCTTTATAGTGCATAATTAGACGTGCGTAGCGTAATTTGGTATAACGATGCATATTTTTTTCCAACCCAAGTCGCAAAAAAGCACTACTTTGGTTGACACTTTTGAACCAGTAGGCTGTTTTAGCAGCATATTTACATGTGCTTTGATATTTGATTAGTAATAAGTTAACACACTTTATATTTTTTTTAATTCATCAATCGAGCCGAAAAAAGCTATTTGTTTCATACAACAGTATATTAATTATAATCGCATTTCAGAAAATTCGCGAGATTTTTGAAATGCATAATTTTTACGCAATTTGGTTCAACTTTTTCTAATTTATTATTTGCAAAGCTAGTGTGGTTGCCTTAGGTTTATTACATTCCAAATTTAAGCTTACAAAAAATGATCACATCACGGATGGGCAAAAATGACACTAACTTAAACAACACTGCCCTGAATCTTCTGACTGCCCCTTAATCCATATCGAATAATATTTGGGAAAAGAAACTATTGAAAAATTTTAAATTTTGGACAAAATCCAAGATCAAGTGTAAAAAATTTTTGAGTTGTAAGAAATTAATTAGACTGATTAGCTTGCCTCAATTCAATTTGGAATGATTTTGCTGGGCGGGATAATTCGCCACGCATGAATAATTCGCGTTACGCTTTCAGTATTATGAATAACATGCTCAAAACGTGCATAAATTAGTCCAGAGCATGGCCAAATTGGCAATTTTCAAACTTTCTGAACATAGCAAAAAATGATCAGAGGTAGAATATCTTTTGTATTTGATTTTAGGGAATCAATATTTTCAATGAAGTATAAAAATTTTGTCAAAACTATTATTTCGATTGTCGAAAATTGACTGAATAATAAACTACCCCAAGGATAAATATTCCGTTTTCTTCGAAAGGTAGAAAAAAAAACTTTTTTAAATATATGTTTTAAGGATATGGTCGGAATATTTTGTGCTGCTTGCTCAGCAACCGGCTATCCTTGTGTTTATGTGTGCAGTGCTGATTTAAATAACTTGAACAAAATTTGAAAATACAAATACGTTTTTCTAAAACTGGGTCAACATCATACAGAAAGTGAAGAGAGCTAAAGTTTCTTAAAATTTTGTCAGAATTCTTATAGTGCTGTTCATTCCGCAAAATTCGGGGAAAAAATTACACCAATTTAATAGATCAGAAGTCTATAACAAAAGAAGCCGTTTACGGAGCGCAACGAAGTTCTACAAGAGTAAAGTCTTCAAAAATTTGTATACGAGAACATTTTTTGCTTGATAGCGAAACATGTCAGTTCTACTATATGAAACTCTAAATCGTTGCTTAAAAACAAATTTTAAAGGTTTTTTTGCGCAAAGTTTTGAAGATTTTTCTCCTCTAGAATTTTGTTGAGCTGTTTAAGAGGCACCTTTGATAAAACCTTTTTTTTCAATTAGAAGAAAATGACTCATTTTGGGGTACAATTTCCGAATTTTGTTAAATAAATTGCAGTATAATAGTTCTGATGAAAATCTAAGCAAATTTTTCTTCTTCGCTTTTGTCTGGTTTCGATCAAATTTGAAAAAAAACCGCGTTTTTAGTTTCAAAATTTGTTCATTTTGTCCAGATAACTTAAATCAGCACTGTAGAAGAGGCGTGTTTTAGTTAGCGCCAGCTTTTTTCCGTAAGTTTTAGTTGAATTATCTGTTGTTTTGTTTAGGGGTTCTCTTCTACGTTAACAAAACAGGTTTCCCAATGGCCGACAACATCTACCAACGCATGTGGGACTTTGCCTGTCGCAAACACCCTGACGGAAACGACCTCTCCAAACGATGCCAATCGGAACAATTCGCAACTGACGTCACAGTTCCTAAAGAGCCCAAAGTGCAATCGCTCCGAGCACCCATTAAAACGAAACTGAAAGCAGTGCAAAGTTACATGGATTCACTGGAGTACAACCATACTGGCACCCAGTTTTTCGACATCATCAAAAACAGACCTTTGATCAGTTTGATGGAAGTGTGTCGTAAGATGGTCCAGGAGTCACTGCCAATTAAATGCCTGGAAGCAACTGTTTTGGGAATTTATCTAACCAATGGGGTATCAGGTAATGTTGCAAAATTACATGAAGTATGTACCTTGAGAATCGATTTAATGTTAATTCATTGAGAGTTCCGCCTTGATGAAGAAAGTGGTCTGGTTTTATAAGCCCCTCGTTGTGTTCTCGATTTGATTGGAGGAGCGCTGAAGCATATAAAATAAGCCTACAGTATTATTTCTAAGGGTTCAAGGGTGAAAACTCCGAGATATAGTAATTGTTTTCCTTTTTAGGCTTAGAAAGGTTCCCTCTTAGTTTCAAGAGTCGTTTTGGCGGCAGGAGTGCGCGTCATGTGGTGCTGGGAGTGTACCATGGGGGAATGTATGGATCCCTGGGAATGAGCAGAAGAGACACACTAGCGTACAAGAGTCTCCAGTTCGACTCTCTCTCGGCTCTAGTGACCAGCTTTGAAGTATGTTTCTTTCTCATAAAATCAGCGTAATTAAGATTCTGGAGTATATATCAAGATTCTAATTCTTCAAGCGCCTTAGATTGATGGAGAAGTCTGAATTCTATTTGAATTCGAAGTCTGAGAAATTTTCGGCTGCTCTAGAAAGTTTGGGCGACCCGACTGATTATCGGATTTCAAAGTTTAAATTCACTAAATTTTACTTAATTACGAGTGCTGATTTTTGAATATATTCGCAGGCGCAATAAAGCAAAGTTGTACTATTTTTTTCAGGTTCAATTGTCATCTTTTACCAACACTCGATGTTTTTAGAAGTGTTACGCTGAGATAGGACACCGAGTGTCTAGACTTGCCATTGGGGTTCCAGTGACTCACGACAGTCGCAGCTTTGAGACAATCGTATGGGGAAATTTTAGTGAGTTTGATTTCAGTAAAATTGATATAAAAAATTTGAAAATGGATTTAATATATCAAATTTGTGCAATATGCGTTTTAGCGTGCTCTTTCCTCGTGTGGATTTGTTTTGGCGAGCTTTTTTCGCGTAGATTCTATTTGATGTGCTCTGCTGAGAATTTGCGGGAAATGTTTGTCGAAATTTATAGGTTTTGACCACCACAAAATTTGTGTATATTGGCGCCAAAATTGTGGGATAAGTCAGCCAAAAATGGGAGTCGTAATGAAGTAACCAAGTGGGGATCCGTGTGTGGTTAGGTGTATCGATTTTCTGAGGGGTTTCATTCCTAAATCCGCGATTAATAATGCGGCCTAATATATGAAAAAAATAGCAGTGGTCTTAGAGATTAGATTGTACAATTTCTTGTTGTGCAAATTTCTGTGCTATTTAGTCGTGAACTCGTACTGGAAGAAACCGAAGGATGAAGTGGGAGTTGAGATAGACAAGTACGCGAAAGAGATGAGGACTAAAATGAGAACCACTCAGACTGTGAGACTACAGCCCACTATGGGTCAACTGCCAGTTGTCGTCCCGCCAATAGACTCAAAACTAATCACATCATCCAATACATAGCTCCGTACTAAAACCTTTGAAAATCTTCACTCGTAGCTAATAATGACTAATACTGCCAAGCCATTTATAGTTTAGAATTCCAAATCGCAGTCTAGCTGTCGGTTATGGATAAAAGTGTGTATGAGCTGTAAATTTGTATAAATTCTGTAAATAATGTGAAATTTTTTTTTTAGCTAACACTTTTCTCTGCAGTGTTTTGCTATTGCGACATCCATTAAAACTGCCCATTGGATCTTCATAGCATCAGTGATCTTAAGGATTAAGCAACTGCTTACGGCAATTTGAGTCGGAGCTGTTTGCTAAAATTGTACGCTAGCCTAACATGGGATTTAAGTAACTGAAGTAGTAAGGGAATTCTATGTACCATCGAAGAAGAAGAATAAATTCGTTCAAGTCAATTCATTACAGCAATAGATATAGCGAATTGAAAAGGGTAAATAACGAGTCTACCCCAAGCAACAAAAGATTCAAACTATTTTTTTTGAAAGTAGTTTTTAATGATAATCATAATTATTAATGTACTAATAATATATAAATAGTAGAATATTTTTTTAAAATCATCCTAGTGGGAATCGAAACCCCTTTTCCGAAGCTCCAATCAAGCATTTTACTACTAAACTAAAGTACTGATAGTGTAATATTTGAAAGCCTTATAAATTAAAAAAATTTATCTTTTTAAGATCATTTCATTCCACTTCATTTATAAAGCTGAAATTTGTATATCAAAATTTATATATCAAAATTTTGCAAGACAATTTTCTGACTGGGTCGAACAAAAGATTTAAACAAAAATTATAAAGCTGAAAGCCAAGGTGCAGTTTAGCTATAGAATCACAATTTTACATGACCGTGAACTTAGGGGATGTAGATAAGATTGAGTCTGCTGCAAACTTCTGTAAACGACCACTGGCAATGTATCATGAGACACACTCAACATTCTGAAGACTCACTGACATGACGACGACGCGCGATGAGGTATCGATCTTGAGTCCGGTGAGTATGTACCAGTCGGTCATATCCTGAAATCTGACCTTGATTTTGGGGGAACAGTAATTTTTGAAAAATTCGAAACAACCATACCAAGCTCAAGTTTTTTGCGGCAACTGAGTCTGCTGCAAAAAATTACAGCAATAGATACAGCGACTTGAAAAAGGTAAATAACGAGTCTACCCCGAGCAACAAAAGATTCAAACAATATTTATTTCGAAAGTAGTGATTAATGAAAATCATAATTATTATTGTACTAATATATAAATAATAGAATGATTGTTGTAAATCATAGTGGGATTCGGACCCCCATTTCCGGAGCTCCAATCAAGCTTTTTACCACTACACTAAAGTACTGACAGTGTAATATTTGAGAGCCTTAAAATTTTTTTAAAAAAATACCTATTTTAAGATAATTTCATTCCCCACCTATCTTGCTTTAACCTCCTCCTCGTTTTCTTTCGCTACTACTCTGATTACCCTGCTTATAGCTCTGATTTTGTTTTCCTTCTTATGTACAAAGTATCCTTAGGAAAAGAAAATTATTCAATTCATTGTTATTCAAAAAGTATCCATCTCTGAGAACTTGGGCTGTCGATAGTTTCATTTTCTGTTAAATTTTTCGTGTTAGTAGGTAGTTTGAAAATTTTTTCTAGCTTCGTGCGACAAAATGGTTGCCGTAAAATTAGTTAATTGGCCCTACGGTGTGCAAAGTTTGGTGTTTCAAATTCTAACAAATCATTAAGATAGCATTCAAAATGGAAAATAATAATTCATAAGCATGTAGATGATAAACAGAGAGTATTCCATGTCGAGTAAAAGTATCTTCCAAAGAATCTCTTGATTTACGGAAATAAATGAATTTCCAATTTTTTTTTTCTGAAATACAAAAATTGGGTGAAGAGCTGTATAGCTACAACAACTATTAACAAGAATTCCATATTGCAAAATGGATTTGATATTCGAATCGTAATAACTGATCTCGCGAAACATAGTGTCGCAGTTTACATACTATGCCACATTGGCTAGCCAGCCTTTTAGAATTATTTTGAAAGTATGTTTGGAATGACAATTTTAAGTCAATAGACATGCCTAATTATGTGAACTGTTTTATCGAGATTTTAGGCTAGTTTGTTTGCAGATGACCAGTTATCAAGGTTACAAAGAGCAGTATCAATTCTAGAAAAACTAGGGCCCATTGAGCTGATATTAGTAACGTCTGCAAAAAGAAAAACTTGTGCAGTTCGCATGCAGACTAGAAATGGTTAAGAAAAATCAGGAATAACAGAGGTCCTAATATGGATCCTTGTGGTACTCCACAAGCAACAGATAAACACGAGAAAGTAATTTTTGCTATTTCAACCCTTTGTTTTCGCTTTCTCAAATAGTTGTCAAACCATTTGAAAGCAAAGCCACGTATTCCGTATGAAGCGAGTTTTTTAACAGAATTTGATAATTTACGATCGAACGCTTTTTGCGATCACGGAAAAAAACCGAATTTTCCAGAATTTAGCTGACACCTCAGCTTTTCAGTTACCTAGGCAAGAGCAACAATAGTGCCATGTTTTGAACGAAACCCAAATTGCTTCTCGTAAAGTAACTAGAATCTTTCGAAGAATATACGGACCCTGTTGTACATTAAGCGTTCGTAATTTTTACTTAATGAATTCAAGAGAGTTCGGACGATGATTATTTAAATCAGTCTTTGACCCAATTTTAGGCGGTGGGAGAATTTTGCTTTTAATTGCTCCTCAGGATATATGCCCTCTGCAAAAGACTCGCATCTAAATTATTTAAATTTTTTATGACAAAGTTGTCAATGCACGTAGCCGAGTGATCAATTAAACGTGTCGGTTCCTTTAAGAACAGTTCAAAACCGTTCGAGTCAACTGTATCAGTGTATTTATTAAGATATTTTGTTTGGATATTTCAATGTTGAAATCTGCACGCAAAATGTGCGGTATGGATTCTAATGAAAAGCTTTCTACTAGATTATTCAAATCTTTTTTGAACTGCAACTTGTTATTTCTTGGTTTATTGAAAATAAGGGTTAAGTTTAAGCTTAAACATCTTACATTCAAATTAGCAGACATTGCGTCGTCCAATGCCATAGAATTATCTTTCACAATCGAACATCCTTCAAGAGTTTGTATCACCACAACTCCTCATCTGTAGTCACGTGCTTTAGACTTAAACTCTTTATAACCCTTTACCAGAAAAATTGAAGGATCTGCATTCATTTTGAGCCATGTCTCAGACAGACAAATAAAATGAAAAGAAGACTCAAGACAGTATATAAGCGCCTCTAAGTCTTCAAAATGTATCCAATGAGATCTAATGTTCACATCCATTATTGATACTTTAGCACCAGGACAAGTATCATTCTGATCCTTAATTTTGATAAAAGGGGTTGTCACTATGATTTAAAGGATTGTCATTTGTTGGAGAGCTGTTAGAGCTATTTTTCTGCTGGTTGTAGAGCGTTGATGGTTGCAGGTACTAATCCTTTGATGATGCTCTCTTTTAGCTCTTTCTGCTGATCTTCATCAATGGGACACATTGCGTACTTTCTTTTTGATCTACTAAAAGATGGTATAGTGTCTGGTTTTTGCTGCATCGGTGGAAGTTTTGGTATCTCTAGGCAGTCCGCCCAGTTTCTGATATCCATTGCATTGTCGTTGTTGTCTTTTTCTTCAACAGTTGGACAATGAGGTTGTTCTTCTTGGACAGTTTTTTTGCACAAAAGGGTTCAGTTCATGTGAGATGTTTTTTTTTGCACCGCACCGTTAGAAGGGCTAACTGGATCTCTAGCGTAAATATTTTGTTTATGGGTGTACGCTTTAACTCCTAAATGCCTTGCTTCCACTTTTATTTGTCTATCACGTGGTGCAAGGCATTCCTCAACAATGATTAGCAAATTCCGTAAAGTTCGTACTGATTTGTGCTCCTATTTTTTCCTCCTTATAAAATCCCTGTCTGCTTGGAAACTGAATTTAATAATAACAAGTGATTTGGGGTTACTACTCCAGAGATGACAGGCTGCAATGTTTGACTCATTGAGATTTTTTTCAGACGGTTTCTTAACAATTGCAGAACATCGGATAAGAAGTTTGGTCCATACTCTAAGTTCACCAGCATCAAGCACAGCTTCCGTGAGTGTTTCTCCAACTACTACTCGATTGGACAACTCGTGAATATTGTTCATATTATCAAAAATTTTTGACACTGTACTATATTGCTCGCCTTCTAGTGTTTGAATGTTCGTTTGTTAAATTTCAAGGAGGTTCAGTAGTTTCTTCATCGTGTCAAGAATATGCAATTCTTCGGAGTTTTGAGTTGATAGCTTCTTTGATTTCGTGTACTTCGGAAAGTTCAACTTGATTATCATTCATTTCTTTATAATAAGTTTATCACGCAATTAGGCTAAAAATGTAAAAACCGTTTCGTAATTTTTCTTAGCCCGTCATTCTCTTCGTTCTATTAGTAGAGCCTAACTTTTGGAGCTCCTTTTTCAAATTCATTTTTTTCCAAATTTTTCTAAAGTTCAAATTTCAGAATTTGCTCCATTACATAATTTTTACACATGCGAGCGTGTGTGCTATCAGTCGCGGATCTAGGATTTTCTCGAGACGGGGCAGATTATTAAACTATACCTTATTTCGACCAAATTTCCTGCTCCTCAAAATTTCAGAAAACTTTGACCAGAAGGTTTCGTTTTTCCGGCGCGCTCCCTCCTCCAATTTGGTAAATATCGGCGTCTTCAGAAAAATTTTAAATTCAATTAGCCAAAAATAGATAAATCTAAGTAGTACAATGGGTAGACTTTTTGTTTCTGCAGATGGTTTTATCACTGAGAGGAGACGGGCGCCTTTCCACCCCCCTCCCAAATCTGCTCTTTGTTATACTCTGTAATTTGATTTTTTAGAGCTAAGTTTTGTGTAAGGTTAAAAGATTGAATCGAGGGCATACCAATATATATATATGCTTCAATAAACTGCATATTTTGCTGCTTAAATCAAAAATAAAATATGCTGGAAAATAGATAAGTGCAAGTAGCTGTAACTTTATTTTAGGCAGATACTTATAGAACTGGGTTCAAATCCAGTTGTCTGCGAGCTTTTTCTAAAGTGATACTAGTTTTTTTTAAAAAAGCCGATTCAACTAGTTCTAACTTTTCCTAACAACTAGTT